TCCTCACATCAAGCACTGCGTCCTCAGCACAAATGGCCTGATCAAGAAATCTGGGATGTCAGTGAAAATACTCCTATTAATTTCAGTGGACTTTAGATCAGACTTTAAAGACATGTGAAAATAGCTTGTCTTAGAAACACGAAATAAAAGTCAACAGGTGCAGACCATTATGAGCCACTGGATGATACAGTTGCCCTGACACCCCATTGGCCTTTTGTTGAATACCACCTTTATTGGCCTGTCTACAATGGAGAAAACAAAATATGTATTCACTGATACATTACAAATGAAACAATATTAAAAATATTAGTTCTTAGTGTAGACAGCAAGAGGTGGTCTTGTTGAACAATGTATTTGCTGGCTATGGTGAACCCCCGCTGCTCTTTTGGTTAACAAAACTGAACATGCCTTCTCGTGCACATACTAAGGCATAATTATATTAAAACTGTGTTTGTTAAAACATTTTAGCTGGCACATTTTCTAGTAAGCCACATTTGAAAGAGATAAACAACCCTGTGATGAGCAGTTCTTGGATTTCTCTGTAGGTTAGGATCTACCCTCTCTGAGCACCAAAAAGAGATTCATTTTGGAACTGTCCTTTCGTCTTTTATAAAAAGGTTTTTCAGACCTCTTCTCTTTCCTCCTCTGGATAATGGTATGTGTTTGTTTGATGGCATCTGTGCCCCAGAAGCTAGACAAGTTATTTTTCTTTTATTAATATTTCAGTATATTGCTCTCCACCTCAAGGGCAGTGAAAAATATTGCCTTGGTACACACAAAAACATATGGTCAAGCTTCTGAAAGCCTGTTTGTACACAGAATGCAACAGGCATTCCGTATGGAAGTGAGAGCGAGTGAGAGAGATTAATTGAATCTTTGTAATCAGATTTTCAAAAGTGCTCAGGGCCATGTTCTCAAACTTTCAGATGTCCCCTAATCAGAGCTGTGTTTTCAAAAGAGTCAAGCAAGCATTTAACCATGAACCAGTTCCCAGTCAGGAGGAAAAGTTGTAATCTCAAAAAACATCCACAAACCTCCTCCTCCTCCCAAAAAAGATTTTTCATTGTAAGTCAGATTCTTTTGATTTCAATCTTTTGGTCTCCCACATAATTAGCTTAATTTTTTGAAAGAAAAAGTTGCTTCAAATCAGAAAAAATGGATTTTTCATGTTTAAAAAGTCAAAAGGAAACATTCTCACAATTTTGAATCCTCTCCCCACACAGTTTTGTTTTGTGTGTGTGTGTGTGTGTGTGTGTGTGTGTGTGTGTGTGTGTTTGTCAGAAAATGGATCAAATCTGAACCTGATTTGGTTGTATAAAACTTTTTTTTTAGTGGTCCTGTGGCATCTTAGAGACTAACTAAAATATATAGAATCATGAGCTTTCCTAGGTAAAACCCACTTAATCAGTTGAACTGGAGTGATTTTAGAGGTACAAGACATTTAATTAAAATATACTGACCAATTGTACTGGGTCCTTTTGAAAATATAACCCTCAATGTTTTCCTCTGTCTTTCTGATTGAAAACTATCTAATGGTGGTAAATCTGGAGAAATGAAATTAATCAACTCAACCCCCTCCCCAGTAATATCAATTTGATTATGAGTCAATGCAGTGCTCTTGGAATACACCCACAGCTTCTAAAAATACTGTATTGGTTGAAAGAATATTCTCAAAATATATCCAAGCTACAAAGTCTCTTTTTCAGTTGCATTTGCCAGAGCTCTCTGGAATCTCATTATACACCCCTCAATTTCTCACTGTTTCTCTCTCTAACACATACAAATTCAAGTTCTTTGGATACTGGATCACATGCATCAGTTTCATACATTTAGTTTGTGCACCAGAACTCAGCCGATTCAAAGCTAAGCAACCACCATGGGAACTCGATTCCTACAGCATGAATCAGCTTATCAGAATGAATTTTTTTTTTAATCTCTGTGATGGTGGCGTAGCAAAAATGCATATTCATCAACTAGAGAGGAATACCTAAAGATATCCATCAGAGGTATATCTAGCTATGAAACAGCATTAGAGATTCATTTTTTTCCCCAACACAAGTTTTTCATTGACACTTTTCTCAGAATAAAAATTTTTCACCTACAGAAATTGCTTCAGACAAAAATATTCAGGTATGTGCAATATACAACCCCAGGCCTTCAAAAACTGATTTATTTCCAATTTTAAAAGGAAAACATTGTTACCCAAAACACAAGTTTCAGTTTTGGGGTTTCGCTTTTTCAACAAAACTCCAACATTTTGTGAAAATGTTTGACAAAAATGAAAAACCTGGTTTTGTTTACCAAAGTTTACAGTAAAAGAAAGAAACAAAAACCATTTGCAAACATTTGACAAGCAGCTCTACTAGCAAGTGCTGCAATCTTGGGTGTCAGATATCACAGTGATGGGTATCATGTAAAGACCTGGCTAGAACTCAAGTTGTGAAACTGAACCATTTTCCCAATTGTATATATTTTCTTCATTAATCACTATAATGCAATTAAAATACAAATGCTGCGGCAGTGTTTCAAAGTGGCAGCATGGCACGGAGCCTGGGGTCAGCTACGGACTCCAGCTGACCCTGGGCTCTATACCCCAGGCTCCGTGCAGCGCTACTGCTTTGAAACATCCTTCTCTTTTCCCCCCTTGCTGCCTCTAGAGAAGCCTGAGAGAGCTGTGTGTTGAGGTGTTCTCTTCACTTACACCACAGAACTTCCCCAGGTGATATAACAGGGGTGGCCAACCCATTAAATGAAGAGAGGCGAAACAGCATTAGAGACATACCCATATATAGTAGCCCAGAATTTGAGAGTCTGTAATGCTGAAATGCTGGCTGTTCCCTCTGGGCGGCGCTGTTGCTGAAATGCTGGCTGTTCCCTCTGGGCAGCACTGTTGCTAAAATACTGGCTGTTCCCTCTGGGCGGCCCGTGCTGCATGGGAAGCGCGGTGCCCAAATGGCCGCTTGCACTGTTTACTTCCCCACTGCGGCCCGGCTGAGTGACGCAGAAGTCAGCCGAGCGCCACAGTGGGAGGGGAGTAATGTCCCCCCCCCGCCGCGGGGGAGCAAGCGGCCATTTGGGCTGCCCCATGTTGGCCCGGCTGAGTGGCGCAGAAGTCAGCTGAGAGCCATGGCGGGAGGTGAAGGGAAGCGGGACGGTGACGTGCGGTGTGACAGCGGCTCCAGGCCCCACCCCCTGGCTGTGAACGTCACCACCCCTCCTCCCTTCGCATCCCACCATGGTGCTTGGCTGACTTCTGCGCCGCTCTACCGGGCCGCCGTGTGGGAGCAAGTGGCGCAAGCGACAATTTGGGCTCCGCGCTTCTCATGCAGCACGGGGAGTGTGGAGCCCAAACGGCCATTTCTGCTCCACGGTCCCCCGAGTGAGAGGCAGGAGGGGGAGTAGAAGTGAAAGAGAGAGGAA